TTGTTTCCTCATATATAAAATGACGCCCAGAATTAGCACAAGTATCAACAGAATCAGGATTTTCTTTGGAATTTTGCACATGATCAGGTTCAATTAATGCGCCCCCGTGATCATAGTCTGGTAGAAGTGCAATTTCAGCACAAAGCAAGGCGCCGACATTGGGATGAAGTTTTGAAAACGGAAAGACAGTTTCATCAAAAACGACATCGCGAGATATGTAGATACGTCCAGTAGCAATCTCAAGACACTTATAGCCTTTGTGAAGGTTGCTATAGCCAAGGAAAGCGCATTGGGTGGACCGAAACTCAAGCTTGTGGCGATTGTAAGGACAAAGATTAGGGTAGCAAGCACATCCAAAGGTTTTGAGATAATTATAATCAGGTTTTTGGTTGTACAACTGTTCCAAAGGAGTAGAATTGCCAATGACACTACTGGGTAGACGATTAATAAGATAAGTGGCGGTGATAAAAGCTTCATCCCAATATTTAAGAGGCATGGATGCATGAGCTAACAGAGAGAGACCGACCTCAACAATGTGGCGGTGTTTGCGCTCAGCAGAGCCATTCTGTTGATGAGCATCAGGACACGGCACATGATGGGCTATCCCTGCTACGAAAGAAGGAGTTTAGTTTCTCATACTCCCCTCCCCAGTCACTTTGGACTGAAAGGATTTTCCTATCAAACTGGCGCTCAACTAGTTTCTGAAATTCTTGGAAGATAGAGAAAACCTCAGATTTATAGGTAAGCAAATATATCCAAGTAAACTTGCTATAATCATCAATAAAACTGACATAATATTTTTTCTACCAAAGGAATCTCGGGCATGACCCCATACATCACTGAAAATAAGTTCTAATGGAGCATGAGACACACTAGTTGACTTGGGATAAGGAAGCTGATGGCTCTTGGCACATTGGCAAGCTTCACACACAAAATCATTATTTTGACTATGAGATAAAAGAAGATCGTCTTTATTGACTATTTGTTTGACGATGACCGAAGAAGGATGTCCTAGTCGTTGATGCCACCGTGCCAAAGAGGGCTCGATGACGGAAGTGGACTTGACGACGCTTGCGACCTAGTGCTTCGGATGGAATTGGGTAGAGCGCTCCAACACATCTACCGTGATGAAGGAGTTCCCTCGTTGCCCGATCCTTGATGAAAAAATAACGAGGGTGAGTCTCAAAGAAGACATTATTGTCGGTGGCTAAACGAGACATGGAGGCGAGGTTTTTGTCAGCTTGTGGGACATGAAGTACATATGGAAGAACTAGATCACGTTTTAGTGTAGGGGAATTAGTAGAACCTTGACCGATGTGAAAAATATCCATACCTCCACCGCTTGCGGTGTGAATCTGGTCGCTGCCATGGTAGCGCTCACCGAGAGCAAGCTGCTCGAGTTCATTAGTCATGTGGTCCGTCGCGCCAGAGTCCACGTACCACACACCATCGCCACCGCCCTGTTCATGTCTGGCAGCAGCGACATGGCGAGCGTCAGGTACGTAGTCTTCGTCGAACCGATGCCAGCAGTCGATCACCTCATGGCCAGACTTTTTGCAAAGCTGGCAGCGAGGGCGACCACGGGAGGGAGGACGACGGCCGTTGTTGTTGGTGAAGCCACCGCCGCCGTTGGTGTTGTAGCCGCCACCGCCGTTGGTGTTGTAGCCGTCCCCCCCACCAGAGCGAGCGCCGTCGCCCTGGGAAGGACCGCGTCCGCGCCCACCGCCGCGTTGCCCCTGGTGACCGCGCCCACGGCCGCGACCACGGGAGGCAGAGTTGACGGAGGATTGGCGAAGATCGCCGCCATGCAGGAGGGTAAGGTGGGCATCAAAACTGAGCAGCTGGCTATAGAGCTCCTGGACGGTGATGGGCTCAACCCTGGCGGCGAGTGCGGAGACGACCGGGTTGTATTCCATGTCCAACCCAGCGAGAATTTTGGAGACAATCTCCAGATCAGAAAGCGCCGCAGCAGTGCTTGCAACTTCATCGGTGAGACTTTTAATCTTGCCAAGGTAGTCGGACATGGACATGTTACCTTTCTTGAGGTTGGTGAGCTCAATGCGAGTATTGATCGCCTGGGCTTGACTTTGAGCAGCGAACATGGCGTGGATCGTGCGCCACACCTCGGCCGGCGTTTGGAGCGTTGCGACCTGGGCAAGGATCTCACGGGAAAAGGAACCCATCAAGTACCCTTGAAGTTGTTGCTGCTGTGCATACCAGAGGGAGCGTGCAACGACTTGTTCTTCTTTGCCTTCCGTGGTGATGGTGAGAGTGGCCGGCGGTGGCGGGCTCTTCTCGTCGAGGTGGTGCTCCATCTGTGCGCCCCTGATCTGAGGCAGCACGACGGCCTTCCAGAGCAGGAAGTTGCCCCTCGTCAGCTTCTCGTGGGGTGGCGATCCGAGAGAGGTGGTGTTGGTGGTGGTGGAGGAGGAGGCGAAGGTGGAAGATGAGGAGGTGGTGAGTGCACCCATGGTGCTTGCTGTCATGGCAGCGGTGGTGGTGGACATGATCTCGGTCGCCGGAGGTAGCTAGATGCAATCTCTTTTGATCTAATGAGGAAGAGGCTCTGTTACCATGTGAAACGATATTGTGGAAGCGTTAAACCCTTTGCTCGGGCCGCACTTGTATATATAGAGGCAATGTCGTGGCTTACAAGACGAGATCGAGAGAGAACGATCGTTACAGGAAACGATCGGTACAGGAGGATTACGAGGGAGAGATAACGGAAGAAGAGATAGAGAAGGGTACAAGGTTTGAAAGATATCTATCCCTATACAACTCTATCTCTAACTAACCAACTATTTCAACAATGTGTTCAGCGCTAGCAGAAGTTGGAAGACCTGGATTCGGAGGCTGACAGTGTGATATCCTCTGAAATGTGCATTGTCAACCAGGCAAAACTGCTATGTTGCTGGAGAAGCTTAGAGGAATAGGTGTTCTTTCTGTAATGCACTTTCTAACTTGTAGTGTCTCTCTCTTTTGATGCTCGAATGCTGGTGGTGTCACGGTGGTGCACGATGTAGAAATGATGGTTTTCTTAATGAAAATCAGGGGAAAACCTTTTACCTAAAAAAAAGTACTCTACTTGTTTTCTCGCACATGGTGCAGAACTTTTGGAAATTAGACATGTGTTGTAAAATCAATATGTACACTACGCACTTCTATGTTCTATCTATTGTGCGAGAGAGCACATCATCTGCTGCTAGATTTGTTTGGTAACAGATGGAGATGTGTCAGCTTTGTTGTCGGAAAGAGGATCGGTCTTCATGGTTGGTCTCACCAACGAATGCCATGACCTAAGCATTGAAGCCGAACATGGTTCAAAACCTTGAGAGGTGTGAACTAATATAAGACGTTTTAGATAAATGATCTAAATCTAAAACGTCCTATATTAGCTTACAGAGGGAGTAGATTATTGGGTGGCAAATGAAAGCAACAGATCTATTTGCAAGTCTGCACAAACAGAATTCTCTGAAAAAACTGAAAAGATCACTTACTGAAGGTTTTGCTGACAATCGAAGCCCACATGAATTTCAGTCGGCAGCATTGGCACTTTCTGCTTATTGGACACCTATGCCTTGAAACTGTAGGATATGCTGATTGTAGGAAACATGAATCATAGTAAAAGAAGGCACCTTAGCAATATTTTGAGAGCCAATAATGGGGTCAAAGAGTAGCTAAAGACACTAGAGTTGAAGACTTTGCTAAAGAAAGTGAAGCTGAAGAGAGTTGTTTTATACATCTTGCAACGTTTATGATTATATGAGAATGAGAGAATAAGCTGAAGCATTGACTTACAGAACCGAGCACGACATGATCACCAACTCATGGTGCAACATGGAAGACACCAGGGATTATCAATCAAATGGAAACAGCTAAGCAAAGGTATATTTCCATGTGAAGCCAGCTAGCTAAGCAGAGGAAATGTAACTAGGAGACATAACTTCGCAGAACGGTTCAAGCAAATGAACTTGAAACATTCTCTTTCAAGTGTTAGCTATTCTTGCAGCCAAGCGCGGAGCGCCTAGTGCCAAACAGGCAGGCAGCAATTTCAGAAACTTGTACTAGATGCCTAAATAAAATTAGTTCAGAGAAAATAATTCCTGGACTTTTAACTCCAAAGTAGTACCAGAAAAGAAATCCTTGGGTCCAATATAACTAGTATACTAACACTGTATGAAACTGCGAATGTACTCCAACAATTCTGACCCATGGAAGAAACAATGGCGATTCCCTTCCATCCGTAGCCCCAATTCTGAATTCTGAACAATGCAAAGACAAATCCTAATTTTGAATCCACAAACACAACAATGAAGCTGCGCCTATTTCAGGAGTTCCGAAGTATACGTGGTCAATACCAGTAACTCAACTGCCGAACATGTTAGTTACGCACACAAGGGGGTAAGGTTTGAAGCTATCTGAACTATGCCCACACCAGAGGAATATCTTCACTCTAAGAGGTATTTTGAGAGTTCTTTTATATATCTTGCAACATTTATGCCCAAGTGAGAATGAGCTGAACCACTGACTTGCAGAACCGAGGACAACATGGTCATGGACTCATGGTACAACATGGAGGACAACAGGGATCATCAAATGACAACAGCTAAGCAAAGCTATCTTTCAATGTGAAGCCAGATAAGCTGAGGAAATGCAACAAGAACAAGGAGACAGAACTTTCCTTTGTTTAACACTTCAAGCAAATGAACAAGAAACGTTCTCTTCCAAATGTAACTTGCCGTCCTTGCAGCAAAGCACCAAGGCAGTAGAGTTCAGCTCTCATCTCCAGTACCAAACAGGAAGCAGCAATTTCAGAAACTTGTACAGCTACAAATAAAATTAGTGACGAGAAAAGAATTTCCTGAACTTTGAAGTCCAAAGTACGTGTACTGCAAAGAAACCTTGAATCCAATACAACAAGTATACTATCATCATTTGGACTGATCTGGATGGCACCATGACAGTACTATCATCCAACAATTCTGATACAGTACCCATACCTACAACAATGGCGATTCGCCTTTCATCCGTAGACATGCTAAGCAGAGGAAACGCAACAAGGCGACAGAATGAACTTGAAACGTTGTAACTTGCCATTCTTGCGGCCAAGCGCCTAGTACCAAACAAGCGAGCGCAGATTTCAGAAACTTGTGCATATATAAAAAAGTATATATTAGTGAACAGAAAGAATTCCTGAACTTTGAACTCCTGAAATACGTATACTGCAAAGAAAACCTTGAGCCCAATACAACAAGTATACTAAGTATCATCTGTATGAAACTATGAATGTACCATATATCCCTTCCATCCGTAAACCCAATACCTGAATTCTGAACAATGGGTAAACAACACCAACACAAATCTGAATTCTGAACCTGAAATGTTAAAGCAGCATCCATGAACTGAACGATGAAGCTGCACTTATTTCCCGATTTCCTGAGTATACATGGTGAAGAGATGCAATGCAATCAATGGTTGAGGAACTCGGCGATGACCTTGTCCTGGGCGACGGCCTCTTCGCAGCAGGGCTCGAGGAGGTGGAAGGTGTGCCCCTTCCCCGGCGCCTGCCAAATGTCGGCCTCCCCGGGCCACCCGCTGGCCCTGAGCCGGTCGTAGTAGGCGCGGCCGCGGTCGCGGAGCACGTCGCCCTCCCCGATGCACACCAGCACGCGGCCGCACGCCAGGGCATCGAGCCCGGGGGCGCCCTCCACGAACGGGTTGATGAGCGGGTCGTCCTCCCCGGTGGTGGCCGGGCACATGACGCGCCACAGGCTGGCCAGGCTCTCCCGCGCCGCCGGGTCCAGGTCGTCGGAGGCCACCTTGTCGGTGCCGAGGAAGTAGGGGTGGATCATGAGGAGGCCGTGGATCGCGGCGGCGTGGGGCAGCCCCTCCGCGCCGACCCGCATCGCCACGTGGTGCGCGATGTTGGCGCCGGCGCTCTCGCCGCCGAGGTAGAGGCGGGCGAAGTCGGCATGGTCGGCGAGCCAGGGCTCGAAGCCAGCGGCGGCGGCGGCGCCGGGGGCGGCGTGGGAGACGACCCAGGCGAGCGCGTCCCAGGAGTCGGCGTAGGCGGCGGGGACGGGGTGCTCGGGCGCGAGGCGGTACTCGACGGAGACGACGAGGACGCCGGCGAGCGCGGCGAGGTTGTTGAAGTAGGCGTGGAAGGTGGGGTTGAAGGCGGAGCCGAGGCAGAAGCCGCCGCCGTGGTAGTAGACGAGGACGGGGAGCTTGGCGTCGGCCTGGGCGGCGTCGATGCGGGGGAGATAGAGGCGCGCGGAGACCTCGGGGGAGATGACGCGGTCGCGGGAGGCGACCCCGGTGGCGGCGTCGGCGTCGGCGGAGGCGGCGACGAACTCGGAGCCGAAGTAGCGCTCCACGCGGTTCTTGTAGATGCGGATGCAGGGCATGGACTCGTAGACGATCTCGTCGTCGGCCGCGGGCGCCGGGGCCGGGATGGGGGCGGCGGCGGCCATCGCGCGCGCGGTGGAGATCTGGGGGAAGACGGGCGACGGTGGTGGTTGGGACTTGGGGTTGAGGCCGAGGGGGGCGTGTTCTGTAGACTTTGCTCTGCTCTGGTCAAGTAGAAATGTAGGCTCTGCCAGCGCCTAGCTAGCTAGGTTGGTGTTGATTGGCTTCTTGCTGCAACTTAACTTGAAGAAGAATTAATTGATTCCATAGCTTAATCCTGATTAGTGGAGGACTAGTTGTAGAACATGGAAGAGTTCTGATTTTCTTTATTTTTTGTGGGAAGAAGGGTTCCGGATCCTGATCTGCTTGCCCAAAATTCATAGGCTGCGCAGTATAGTATAATTAAAGTTGGTCAAATGGGTGACAATGTTGTTTCTTTATCCCAAGATTACCGCAATTTTCCGCCAAGCCACTTCACAAACAGTTTTGCTAAGCATAAGTCGTCCGATGCTTCGATATGTCTCACTCGATGCTATATTCCTTTGATTCTGCATGGAAATTTGCACAAAAAAATTCTTTTCAACTTTTTCTTCTTCTTATATACCAATATCACTTGACTGAGAGTTGAAAGTCTCAGTTGACTGAGAACTGGCCACACCAATTCACGAAACAAAAACAAAAAACCGCCCCTCCTTTTGTCAACATTTTCCTGATGCATTTCAAGAAAAAAAAAGGATGGAAACCTCGAAGGCATTGCCTGGATCTAGAGAACATTGTTTAGTTGTTTCGTGGGAATGCAGCAAATGCGATAGTGGAGGAAGCTCATCTGCCCGTGCAAGATTCTCTCGCACAGCATATGCTCTGCCTCTCAACTCACCAAAATTTGCAGAGTCAAACAAGAACACGCAGCCCCATATGGCCTGCCACTGAAACTCGTGCACAGCGCTACACATTTTCTTCTTCTCTTGCGAGCTACGGTTGACCGACCCAGCCGACCGGCTCCAAAAGACTAAATACTGCTCCCGCCGCTCACAGACATAAGATTCGATATTTCAATATGAATTACATACAAACTGAAATGAATGTACAAACACACGTAAAATGCATGAACATACATTTGAATCAGGAAAAAGGTAGATCATCTTTTATTTGTGAATGGAGGGAGTATCGAAGATCGACCTTTTCTCCTTCCTATAATTTTGCTCAGGAATTCAAAATCTCAGATGCACAAAGTTGTTACCAGAGGTTTTAGAATGATCCTAGTTACATGCGACCAATCTAGCTTCCTAGAAGATTTCTCCCGGTGCCAACCATTCTCAAAACATGAAATCGGTCTTCCGCATATGCCCTAGCAAATAAGCCGTTGCGCTGAATTTATGCGCCAAAGATGTAAGCAGTGGCGGCGCCAGGATCGAGGGAGTATGAATTCAAAGGGACGTAGGATCGCCGGGGGAGGAAACATTTGTGTAGTAGTATGCCGGGGGAGTATGATTTTGTTATTTGCGGTTCTTGCCTTAGAACGTGCAAACTTGTTTGAGCTCTCCCCTCCTCTCTATTGATGAATGAACACGACAAGTCTTTTGCCGTGAAATATAAATGGAGGGATATATCGATCAATGGGTGGTTACAAAGGACGTGATAGGAAGGTGGAGTTGGGTGAGAAAGTGATGGATCGGCACTACTACTACTCCATGAAGAGTTCATGGTAGATTGTTGGTCAAGCATTAATCTTTTGAGTAGGTTGGTGTTGCACGATCTACTCCCTCCATTCCTACATATAAGTCCTTTTATAGATTCCACTACAAACTTCATCCGGATGCATATAGATATACTTTAGAGTATAGATCCATTCATTTTGCTCTGTATGTAGTTCATACTGGAATCTCTAAAAAGACTTATATTTAGAAACAGAGGGAGTATCATGCATGTTATTACCAAAATTGAGTTATCGGGTACTTCCCCTTTATGCCGTCTCTTAGCTTGATATCAAATTTCATTTACATGACGTGAAACTAATGAAGGGAAAGGATGAACCCTAGCTTTTCTAGCTACCTGCTTGAGGTGTGCTTTGAGCCTTTGAACTCAACGTTACCACGGCCTACCACTTGGTGCACGCAAGGAAAGCAAAGATGCTACACTTGGCCATGTGGTTGGACCTCATGCCAACTACCAAACATCCTTGTATCCTCATGCACATAACACAACTGCTCCATTGCAAGCTTTCGGTTCACGATACCTTAATAGGCACCCTCTTTCAAAAATTACTCACCCACTCCGTCTAAAAAAAGGACATGTACACATTTTAACATCTAACTTTGACAATCAGTTAGACTACTACTATCTAGATTATATGCAGCATGTACGGTCGGGCGCCTCAAATGCGTCTCCAACGTCCAGACAGGCGGACTGGTCACAAAAAATCGATTCACCCAGGCATCTCAAACTGGCCTCAAACGTCTGGGCTGTCTGGCGCCCCTCATATCCAACTCAAATTTAGGGCAGCTATGTGGCGGTCCGGGCACGCCCGGGCGCGTCCGCCTGACAGATTCGGCCACCACCGACCCCACAACTGTCCCACGGAATCCACAATCCGGTGCCTAGCTCCGAACCCTAGCTCACTCCGCTCGCCTATCTCGCTCCGTCCTGTCCTCTCCCCTCCCGCATTCCGATCTAATCTGGCACAATGTTGAGCTCCAGCAACCACTTAGGCTCCAACCTCGACTACGATGAGGAGCTGACTCTCCGTATTGCCTTGGAGCGGTCCAAGGTGGACATCGGGGGGCGCTCCATATCTGCAGCATCACCGAAGCTCCCGCATCGGTGCAGCGCGGACGTCGGAGTTGAACCCTCCCGGCCCGCGCTCAACTCCGGCAGGATAACGCAGTCCGCACCGCCTCCGCGCCGTCCCCTTCCCCCGCTAGGCACTCCTCCGCGTGGGGCGGCGGTGGGTGCTAGTGCCCGTGCTGCTGGCCCGAGCGCGCACTCCAAAATTGGAGGCGCCCGCCGCTCGTCGTGAGAGGCAGCGTGCAAGGAAGAGGGAGGCGGCGGAGCGGTCCGTGCACCGTCGCCATGGGATGCCGGCGGAGCCCAACGAGGACGAGCGGCTCCTCGCATGGGCCTACCGCCAGTCGCTCACGACGGTGGAGACAGACGCTCGCCGCCTCCTGCGAAAGAATGCAAATGTGCTCAGACTAACCATAGAGCAGTCGGAGCGGGAGGCGAAGGAAACGGTGACAGAGGCGGTTTGGGTCGCCAAGTTGAAGCGACAGCACGACATGGCCATCCGTCGGATGAAGGGGTTGATCGTCCTGTCTCACACCGACTCCGGCGACGGCAACGACGACGACGACAACTTCACCTCCTGTGACGAGGACCAAGATCATCCATTAGCCGCGGACACCTATAGCTGCGCCGTCGACCGAAAGAGCAAAGGCCCGACGCGGAAGTGGTGATCCAAGCTCATCCTTCTATGTTTATATCGTTTTTAGTTGTTGATGTTTAAGAACTTATCCGGTGATGAACTCAGATGGTCTTTTGGATGATGTCAAGTTTGTTTATGTCTGTTTCCAGCTGGGTTTGTTGTCTGTTTGCATTTAATTTTAACATTTAACTTTGACAGCCAGTTAGACTATTACTGTAACAACATTGTAAAAAAAATATTACTGCACAGATTATCATGCGACATGACATATTTATACCATTGGCAACTTTCTACGAATGTGATTTCCATGAGTAGACGCCATATGTTTGTGACATGGTGTAAGAAAGGTTGAGAATAGAACTTACTAGAGGCAAACGCGCGCCTTGCCGCGCCGTTTTCTCTAAAGGCACCTTTTTCACGCTAATTTCTTTCAAGCATTTTATTGGTCAAGGATCCATCAAAAGTTTTTCTTGGGGTCCAAACTTCTATTCTTCGTTCTTCCCCGGGCCTTGCAATTTCTATTTTTCTACCGACATGCAAATGGTCGTGTTATGGAAAGCATGCACACTTTGCCGTGACAATAATTTTTGGCGCGGTACTATGGTTCTGGGTTATAACTTATCACCTAATAAGAGTGTAGTTTGTGGTGGACTGTTCAATGTAATGCAATATGATTTTTGTGTGCACTTCAAAACGTTGGACATCTAGATGTACACCAGAAATTATGAGGCCTCAGATAAGCTATCAAGCATGTATATTAGGAAGCAACAATTTTGATATAAACGAACAATAATCCCAGATTTCCTTCAACATGTACCAACTTCATGTTAAGTATGTTGCAGCTGGGACCACAATAAGAACAACTTTAGTCCTGCTCCCCAGCTTCCTCTGCTCAAATTAATCACAGCCTGTAGTCACTGGTGTCTAGATTTTATTTGAAGTATCGCTAGGAGTAGACATATCCTAACCATGTGACCAGGTGCAAAGATTTCTTTGCACTACAACTTGCAAAGACTAATAGCTTTGTTCCGCTTTGTTATTTGCCAAACGTATGACAAATTGGCCACAATATTTACACAATGCTTGGCACATACAAATGCTCTGTATCCATGTTCGCACCGGCAAAAAAGAACAATAAACACAAACAGTGGGAAGTAGAATAAGAGCTAAATGACATACCTTTTCAACTGAATTCTTCAGCCAACAAGATTCTGAAATAATATCTACCAAATAAAAGTACTCCTTTTCCTTGTAATTCTAAGACAAATGAAACATCCATCAGACTGAACTGACTGGTCACAAAAGGGATTATAAGGTACTCCCTCTACAAAGAAATATAAGAGTGTTTAGATCACTAAAGTAGTGATCTAAACGTTCTTATATTTCTTTACGAAGGGAGTAACATATTAGGATCACATCTAAAAAATGTGACACCAATGTGCATGTTGCATAACCCATGAGAAATAAAAGAGATAAGAAAGATCCAAAAGCGTACTTAAATGGTCAACTAACCAATCCAGATCTAGCCAAAGCAAAATAGTGTATATGTTCATGTGACGACTGATGAAACTGAAGCTGTGAAATTAGCAGGATAGTATAGTTGTTAAACTGGTAAATAGCTTTTGAGGTTTCATGCCATAATAC